CACATGAGTAATGTACAAAAGCAGTATAAATTAAAGTTGCACAGGAAAGTGCTGGGTTGGATGGCACTTCATGTTGTAAAACTCTATTTCTGGATTCTGGAATACTTGTAAGAGTAAAAAAGAGACAGGTGTTTCTTGGTTATTTGTTTTTTTTAAAATAATAAAGTAGGGAGACAAACCCCTAGTATAGAAAAATAGCTATCTAGTCAACAGGTGATAAATTTTAAAGAAAAAATATTTCAGAAAATGAAATTGTAGACAAATGCTTAGCTTCAGTTCCACTAAAAGTGGAAAATGCCATACTGAGATAATGTTCCAACTCCATAGGCTTAAGGGAAACAAAACTTAATATTCCCATGAGGCAGGGATAATAGTTCAGGCGCATGTTCTTAAAATTGTGTTTTTCAGACTATGAGTAGCAATTTATTATGGCAGAAATATTCATGGAGAATGTCACTGTGCTGCGCCATAATACACCATGTATTACCACCATATTAAGAGTTATTTCTGTATTTTTTAGCTTATTAGATACCATAGTTCATTTAAAAAGCAATTTTCACATTCTCACAGCCTTCTGGAAAAAAAACCCAAAACAACCAGATTTTTCTTCAAGCAATAAACTGAAATCTCTGACTACTTCTAAATTCTATTACTTCAAATATCAATCTAAGAAAGTTGCAGGAACAGCTTTCAAGATTAGCTTACTCAGTAAATGGTAACCGTAGGTTCATTACATTAATTGTACAATGTGTCCCAGGGATTTCTGTAATCAATTAAGGCATAACTTAATGTCCCCAAGACTAAAAAAAAATTGGTGTTTGACAGGAGAGGAAAAATAATCTAACCATGTTCTGAACATTCTAACATACAAAACTTCCTCATTACCACAGAGAAGAAACTTTACTGCAACTACTTCTATGCTCACCTCCCACCATTCCCACCAAGTTCTGAACCAGCTTGAAAAACAACAAACGTTTCTTTGTACGGTACATCAGCTCCTTCACTTCTCACCAGAACTTTACAGACAGTGAAAAGCTGAGAAAAATAATTATGTTGGGATATTATGATTTAGCATAGAAGTTGTGATGAATACAGCTGGCTTTATTTCTCAAGAGATCATACACCAGACTCAAAAATGTTGAATTGGTTTTGAGCCCTCTTCGCTGCTCTTGCAACAGCCACTAAGCTAGAAGCAGAAAGAAGCAGCTGAGTGAAGTAGCTCTACCCTGTCACAGAAAAGAAGCAAAAATCGTTGCACTGAAAAGGGCAAAGAAATATAATCAATGTTAAGAAACTCTTAAGTTTTTTAAATAATAGATTTATTATCCCAAACTGAAACACTTTTTTCCACTGTTAATTTTAAGGATCTAATTTGTCACTAAAATAAAATTTCTTTCTTGAGTGAAGCAACACAAATAACTAGCTCTAAACATAAAAATTATTTACTGGTTACATTTCTATCATAGCAAGTATAATCTAATCTGCTGTGACTGCCATTTCAAGATAAAAAGCAGAGAAATCTTCAGCATAAGCAACTAAAATTTCTGAAGTTACTTACCAGTCAGTGTAGTGCTACTAAATACATATAGGTCCCTTACAACACTAGCGGGCTATTTTGACTTGGAAGATGTTTGAGATGAGTTAACTGCTCTTGACTAAAAATATAGTAACATTTATCTGGGCCATTGATATTGTAGCTATTCATGACAACTACTACTCCTTCCCAGAATATTGAAATTAATATTTCTTACATTTGCAGAAAAATGCAAATAGAGATGCGCATACTCATCTTCTTCCATACAAGAGACCACAACAACTGACCTCATGAAGGAATGGAATGATTGTCAGTATCTGTAGGCAGAACCATCACTTTCTGCCTTAATTCGAGTAGACCACTGGAACATATTTTCACATCAGAGGTCACTGTAACAGGACTAAATTTGGAGCTTTGGTAAAGAAGCACGAACAATTAGGACACTTAAAAACCTGCAGTGTGGAAACCGGTATACTTCCAGCACTCGTGCTCTTATACCTCTCTGTCCTAAACTTTACTCTTATTTCAGCACATTCATTGGGAAAATGAGTGAGAGGTTTCTTTGTGATTTTTTGTTTGCTTTGTTTTGGTTGACTGTTTTAGGAATGAAATATTCCTATATTTACTTAAAAAGCTTTCAGAGTCCTCTTGTTTGTAAGACATTCAAAATCTACAGAAGATATTTGTATTGGATAAAGGTCATTATATTGGGTCTGGTTGAGACGGAGTTAATTTTCCCCATAGCAGCCCTCATAGTGCTGTGCTCTGTATTGGTAGCTAGAATGGTGTTGACAACACAACAGTGTTTTGGCCACTGTTGGGCAGTGCTCGCACAGCATCAAGGCTGGCTCTTCAACATTGCACCCCCCTCACCAGTAGGCTGGGGGTGGGCAAGATCTTGGGAGTGGACACAGCCAGGACAGCTGACCCAAACTGGCCAAAGGAATATTCCATACCGTGTGACATTAGTAAGAGAAGGGGGGGGTGGCAATCATTATTATGACATTTGTCTTCCAGAGCAACCGCTACACGTATTGAAGCCCTGCTTCCTGAGAAGTGGCTGGACATCGCCTGCTGATGGGAAGTAGAGAATAAAACTTTTGTTTTCTTTTGCTTCTGCATGCTTCTGTTTTCTTTTGCTTTGCTTTTGCTTTATTAAACTGCCTTTATCTTGACCCACGAGGGTTTGTTGGTTTTTTTCGCATTTTATGGCCTGGTGTCTAGCCAAGGTCAACCAACCACAGCCACCAACTGTAACTAAAGAGTGATCAGCAACATTCAGTGACAGATCCTTTTCCTGACTATGAAAAACTACGTGAGTTTTTTTTTCTCACTGGTCTGGCATAAAAGAACAAAAGTCACACATTAACACACTACAACCCAGAAATCACAATACTAACAAACAAAAGACTGTGTGCCTGAAGGAAAGACACTAACAGAACTAATCTGGCCTTTAACTGACTGAGCAATGTTTTCAGAGAAGCGAAAGGTCGACACCTTTCTTTGGATCTCTACACAGCTATTTCATTTAGCAAGGATTTGTTCAGTTACATACACACAAATAGTAGAACTTTTGGGGAAAAAACTGAGCAGTCTGCCTATTCTTTTTAACATTAGCATAACTATGTTTTTTTCAGGTTGCAAAACCTTTTGCACAGCAAAATGAAAATCTAGTAGATGTTTAAGTGTTCTTGGTCTCCCTCATGAAAAGAGCAGCACCTTAAGAGTTCAAGAATAGTGCTATTCTTTCCACCAACTCATGGAAAACAGCAGCATTTGGATGGAGAAGCAACAAAACTCCAACTATTTCATCTGATGTTGTAAAACAAGATCTCTAAGTATTTGTGAAACACTATTCCCAGCTTTATCACATAAGTCATTCTGAACACAAACAGGAGACTAATCTTCAACCTTTCCAGCTAGACAAACCCACTCCTCCAGTTGTCACATAGGTATAGAATTTCAATGTTCTTTTGACACAGAATATAATAGGGATGTGTGCAACAAGCTGGCCAGCAATATCTTTTTAGCTACAGTCCCTATACACCTATCAAAGCAACAATAACAACACATTTCTGATATTGATCACCTGAGATACTGTTACATCCAAAACTTTTTTTTTTTTTAAGAGAGAGATGACCTACAAAAAGGATAAGCTGCTCTCTTTCTATTTCTAACCACAGAAATGGAAGCAAACTGAAATGTATCTCTCCCAGCTCTGTCATCATTACCCTTCTGGGTTGAACAGCAACTGCTTTCAATAATATCTGGGTATTCAACGAGGATTTAAGAAAAAAGGATTATTAGCTGTACCTAATATTTGCAATGCAGCTCCAACATGACCTAGACAAAAGAAGAAAAAAAGGCTTCCCCTCTCCACCTCACAGGTAAAATTAACCACAAAGATTCAAAGAAAAATAAATACTCCATACTTTTCCACGTGCATAGGAAATTATAAGCTTTCTCTTCCTTGTTGCTCTTTATTTGCATTAAGACCAGTAATTTCTAACATGCAAGTGAAATAAAGTCACAATTTGCCCCATAAGGTTCACTGGCATGGAGTCCGGGAACTAACTTTGATCACAATGCATGTTTTGTACGTGAGTAAAATCAGTATCTAATTCCTAAAAGGAGAATCAAAATGGTATTTACTAACACAGCAGGAACTTGAAGAGCATAGAATTACAAGAGTTGCTCTCTGCTCAACACACAAGAAGCTTATCAACTACATCCTCATGCTTCACTAAAATACTATGATTTAGATCAGTCTAACAAACCTCTCAACTTTAATTATTTGCCAGATTAAGACACTGAGGTATTTTAAAACAAGGGGAGTACTGAAAACCTGTGAAAGTACATATTGTTCGTGTGGAAAATCAACAATAGTTCCCGAGGTAGATAATACACAAGGCAAGAAAATTTTGAAATGATGCAGTGTTTTGTTTTTCTTTTTAATTTGGTCCGCATGTCAATTTTTTCCATGTGTTTCAAATACAGAAAAGTTTTATAAAACAAGAAATTATGCTTACTATTATACAACAAAAATTCAATAACTTATAATAATTAAATAATTCATATTATAGGTAACTAGCACTGGACAGGCTTCAACTCTTCATATGAAAAGGCATATAAACTCTTCATATTAAAAATGGTTTAGCATGTACTTTTTAAAAAAACATTATTCAACTGGGAAACAGAAAAAAAATAAAATTAACTATATGAAAGTGATATAAAATGCTACACTTCATTAAAATTCTGAATCTTATGAGTAGACTTTTTAAGCATACAGATTTTTCACAATTTTCAAAAAGCATGCTAAATAGTACAAGCTAGCTATTTAGGTTCTGATTTTCATTTGGTTACTGCATTGGCTCACTGGAGCACAACTAATTAATTTCTGTTCTTAAAAAACAGATTAAAAAGTTCGCTTAAACTATTGCCGCTCATCAATAAGAAAGTCACTTACCTCTTCCTTCTTCCAGTCTGTGTCTCCTATTTACCCGTTGCCGTTTTTCTTCTTGCCGCAACTGAAGGTGTTCTTCAATATTAACTCCAGGAACAGGGACAGCTTATATAGATTAAAAAAAAAAAAATTATGAAAAACTACTTCTAAAAATTGTTATGATGGTAATAATCCCTAGAAGTTAAGTAAATGAAAACTAAAGCCTACTTACTACCTGCTCTTTACATGGCTCTGATACAATATTTAGAAATAAAGGAGTCGAGTAAATTTGGAGAAGAGTTTTAGGCCTTATAAGTCTCTGAATTTCGTGATTTTCATGAATCTGACACAATTCCAACATCACTGAATAGTTTAGTACTTTCTTTCTATTAGGCATACACAAATTTATATTTAATTATGTGTTGTCATGGTCATATCAATTTTTCCCAAAAAAGTTTCAGAAAGGCTTATTATTAAAACAAGCATAAAATTGCTTATCTTTTAAAAACATTTTAATAAATTAGGTATTTTTTAGTTTATGAATGCTTTACCAGCATGCAATTACTTTAATGCATATATACATTTACATGTAAATCTGACTTATTTACCAAACTAGCTAATTTAATAGGAATTTGAAACAAACTGATAAGCACTTTTTAAAACAGAAAACATGACTTGAATGAACACAACAATAAAACTCATATAAGCACTACCTTTTTCCAATGTTTTTTCAGCAAATTGCAACAATCTAAAAAAAAAAAATACTTTGCCCCCAATATCAAACAAAATCTCCACCTGGAAGCACTGTCACTTTTCTCCAGACAAATGTGGTCACCTCAAATTATGCCAAGCCCAACACAGGCCCAAGAGCTGTTGTCTATTCTGCTAGGAGAGGAGTTAGCGAAGTGGAGGTTAGCATAAAAACCGTAACTCCTCCCTGGTCATGCATGAGAATATTGTTGTGAAGCACAGCTACTATTGCCACATTCCCCATCAGTATAAACCTACTTCTCTGATAGCCTTATACAAGCAAATTACATTTCGAAATACCTGTATGGAAATATCAGGACTGCACAATGAGATTATTTGGGGTCCTTAGTGTTGACTTATCAAGAGAACCACTTCTAGTTTCTATTTAACTTTTGCTTTGGGAAAAAAAATTCCACATTCAAAGCAGAGCATATAATTTTCTATTATTACCCTTATTATTATATATTACCTCCTGCCCGCAATAAATTGGTGAGATGTATAAATATGTTAAGTCATACATCTGATTATTTTATGGTCCTTTTCTATACCAGATACTATATCCATATATTCATGCAGAGGATAAGGGTTTAAGGATTAAGGGTTCTATATAAATTTAAATATTAAAAAAAAAGTAAGGAAATTCTGAAATCCAAAAGTCTGTAACTGCCCAGTTGTAAGTACAGAGAATACAATATTAAAAATGCTGTGGTAACAGATCTTACAAGGCAAGATTCCAAACTGTATTTTTTGGGGAGGAGGGGTAGGTGGGTGAGTGGGTGGAAGGTGTTATGGGTTTTTTAAAAGTAATTTCCACATTCTCAGCGGGTCTTTCTCTCTGAAAATTTGAAGAGGAAAAAAAAAAAAATCTTTTTCAAGAAACAATATGACCCATATTTTATGTGACTGCAAAAAACCCTGATAGCAAATTTTCAGGCTATCAAAAAAGGTCAAGAACAACTTTGTGGTATCAGCATCAGTATTATACCTGCAGAGGTCAAAACAGCACAAAGTGTGGGCAAGATTAAAATGAATTTCACTTACCATAATGATCCCACTTTGCTATATCATTAGCAAATAAATCTGCCTAATAAGCAACACTTTATCCATTTCAACAATATTATACTAAAACTGCCCTATAAGTCTAAAAGTTCAGTAACTTGACTGGAAAGAAAGAACTGCATTTCTTAGGATACGAAGTTTTATCATACAGAAGAATCAAAATAGTAACTGAAATATTATCTGAAAATCTATTTCTAGGCTAACCTGTTATTCCAATTCAAGTTTCAAGTCAGCAGTGGGATTGAGTTTATTAAAGAGTATAAACAGATGTACTGAGGAAAAAAAAAGTGCAGTAAAAAAGAAAATTAAAAGCCATCTTTCTAATTTCCTATCACTTACCCAGCAAGAGATCTAAAGGTATCATCTCTTTTACAGCATCAAGGATTCCTCTTTGCCTTGCTTCCTGGCCATCCAGTTCTCTAGCACACGCCTTGCAGCAGCCACATACAGCACAGCCTGACTCACCTGAGCCACAGCCACAGATTCTGCAGCAAACAGAGTTGCTTTATCACCATCTTTTATTTTCATGCATTACTCATGCCTTAGCAATTAAAACATAGAATATTAGTTTCTTCTATCTCTGGACATGTAATTTTTTTTTGAGATAAACAGGAAGTACAGCTATTTAAATCCTAGCTGCTGTTGCATGCTGCCAGGGAGCATACACTAACTATACATACCTGAACTGACTTCTCAGCATTAACTTTTCTTCATTTAATTAAACATACACCACATGAAAGCATGAACAAGAAAACAATGATCACATGCAATGCTGGAGAAATAGTAATGGCAATATGTGAACAGTGGCCCTTTATGCAGCTCAACCCTGAAGTAACAGATAAAAGCAACTGGAATAGCAAGATAAAAAACTTCCATCACAGGATGAAAAAAGGTTATCCCACAGCCAGCAGCTCTGTCAAGAGACAGATTATATTAGTGTTCATCTTCAACAGCTTCTAGTAAAGAGCTATATGTTAAAGAAATGTAAAAAAATGCATTTAAAGCTAACACACCTGCAACCATCACAAGCTCTTTACAAAAATTTTAACCTACTTCCGATTTTAAAAGCGCTGACTCTTCTTATATATAACATTGTCTTAGATTGAAGTTTAAGTACAGATCAACTCAGTTTACAGTCAACATATGCTTTAGCCATTCAACACACTATAGCAAGTATAATTCGTTTGCTTACCCTCCAGGTACTCTGTCAGGGCGCCCACTACTAACACAGCTAGCTCCATAGCCTGTGCAATCTCCACATACAGTGCACACCATACACTGCTCCAGCTTCCATTTATGCATGCCTGGAGGACACATCATGGACTTCTCATCTTTTTCATCCAGTTCCTCTTCTAGGTCTTCATCCATCGCTGTTGCCATGTTCTCAACTCCAAACCCTAATTAAGATATTGAAACAAGAAACAGCTGGTTTTTGAGGCCAACAGTGCCAACTGAGGAAGCTCTGAAGAATACTCACAGATCAAATTTTGAAAGGATGACTAGGCATGCCTGATTTGCATGCTCAGCCAGCAAAATGACACTTTTGAAAGCTCTCTGAGCATGAGCTGGTGTATATATCTGTGTTTCACAGCTAAAGGGGAATTAAAACATTTCTATTCAGTATACAAGTAACAGGTCATTTACTTGTTACATATAAAATATTCCAATCTGGCAAAGGTATGAATTTTCATACCTGTATTTAAGAGTAACAGAAACATCCCGTTGTGTGGAGAAAGGTGTAGACTTGCATTCATGCCCTGTTTAGGCAAAATACAGCCTCAAGACTGAATGCAAAGAAGGAAAAGTAGCAAATTTTTTCTTACTAGGACAGCAGCACATGGTAAGACAAGGAGTGATGAGGTTTGGTTTTATTCATTTGTTTTAAAGAAAAGCTTTTTCACCAACAAAAGAAAAGTAATTGAGGTTGATGGTTGTTTCTTATTACATAACTAAGTTAATTTGTATGTGCAGAACACCAAATACCTGACAGTTAAACTGAAAGCATCCATATCTGCTTTTTTAAACACGTTGCATATACTTAAGCTTTACTATTTTTTGTATTATATTTTAAAATTTATAATAAAATGCTTACCTATGGTTTTGCTTGTGATATTTTCCATCACACACAACAAAGGGAAATAATCTAGGTGCCTCACCTTTTCCTCCCTGGCTCATGGAGCCTGTGTCTCTTCCACACTGTCCTTTATTATTTACACCAAATGTCCAAACTTCTCCATTTTTCATTAACACACAGGTGTGAGCTTTGCCCATGGCTACCTGAGTCACAAAATGGCCTTTCAAATCTGTTACTAAACCTATAAGACATAAAACAGTTGAGTGGTAAATTGCACTTTCTACCTGAGAAGGAAACTTCAGCAATATAATAAAATTTCTAGTGGAAACTGACAATTTTTAAATTAACAGCAAGAGAGAAAAACTGCAGATATAGAAAAAAAGTGCTAGAATAAGAAGTGAAGGAGAATTAGGCCTAGGCCATTTGTCCTGCAAAGAAAGGAAAGCCAAAACCAAACCAAACCCTGCTGCAAATCACTTTCGAAAAACAATTCTAAAGGAGTCATAATGCCATTGGAGTTTATTTCTTTAATATTTTATTCAAACTGAGAGGTACTGGGTCACCTACAAATTCAAGACAGGCTGCCTTGTGAGCAAAGAAATGTATAAGGCCTGGTTTCCTGCAACCTTTGTTCACAACAAAACATGTCTCCCTTCTGTTACTTTTCCCTGTGTGGCCTTCTAGTGGCAGATTAATACAGCAATCATTATTTTTCCCTTAGTGGAAGCATTCATTCAGATTTGTCACCAGTGCTCCTATATATAAAGAAACTGTCTTCTCTTTCTATCCTTCTGTCATATTTGGCTGAATCAGCAGAAATTCAGAAATCTATTAGGAGAGTAAGAAACACACAAACATCATTTCCACAAGCTAAAATCTTCCAGACTAATTTCAATTACTTTAGTTGAGAAACCATTTAAAAGACAAATATTAACTTACTTGTACTATCAGAGTAAATGGCATCTTTTCCAAACATGTAGAGTTCTCCATCTTTTGAAATTACAGAACTGCTTCCATTATTGCATGCTGTAGATATGACAATCTTTCCTTCCATTTTAATAATTTTTTTAGGCTTATATGGTTTTGACTGCCGTCTGCTTTTAGCTTTAAATGAATAAATAAATTGCAAGTTATTCTACCAAAAAAACCTTCAAAGGCACAATAACGTTTGTTTCATAATTAGGGGTCACTTTTCAGAGAGCTACTAAAAAAAAAAATCTGTCTGATCTCCTGGTCTAATTTTTATTGGATTATACTGGTTTCACTCAAAAAAATTCCACAGCAAGCATAGTCATCATTAGATATACCAGGTATATTTCAGTAATGACTCTTCAAGCTTTTCTTTTATATATATTCTGAAGTAACTTTATGAGCTTTATAAAGCAGTGTATACTAAAAAAGTCCTCACTGTCATCTGAGATTATATTACAATATATGCACAATAAGTTCACAGAGAAATGTTACACAAGCTCATTTTCTTTTTTTAAAGAAAAATATTAAATTCCCTATTTATTAAAACTGTGTTTAGAAAACCTTTGTGTCACAACAGATTCCTACCAGAGGAAAAAAAGAAGAAAAAGTACTAAAAAAACCCCATCACTCCAAAATCATTGATTACAATCTGCCCTCAAATGAAAGAGTAACATCATTCCTCAAGACTGGATAAAACAAGTAACAGCTACCATTGCTGCCTGTGAATTTTCACCCAAATCAGAGAACTGCCAGTTGCTTTAACTTGCTGACAATTACCAACTTTCCACAAAAAACACACAGATACCCTGCTGAGAGAAAACAGTCTCCCTGCCCAGGTTTAAAAGAAACCTGGGGAAAAAAAATAAAAAACTTGTGCACATCTACTCTGAGCCAGATTAGAGAGTGATGAAGAGAACAAGATGAGTCAGAAGAGAGTTGAACTTCTTTTAAAAGAACTCAGAAAGACCTTGAGCAGGTCCTTGAGCAGATTCCTCAGTAAGAAGATCTAGTAAGCACTAAATATTCTCAACTAAATTTTGCTCATTTAAACTATAGCAGCGACAGCAATTTACTTCAAAGTGCTAAATTTCTGTTTCATCTGAAATTGTAGATTAATTAATAAAACAACAAGAATTACTTTAATTGTATTTTGGATCACTTCCCAATAACTGCACAAAGAAATCTTGAAATCTGTGCTTTTAAATGTATTTCCTAAAATCTTTCTCTTTAATTTACTCTACATTTGCTGGAGAAAGTAGTATGATTTTGTCCCACACAGTTTTCAGTAGACTTGCATTTAAGAAGACTCTACAAAGTTACTACAGCACACATCAAGTTTGTTACCCAGACTTTTACCCAGGAGTACTACTATTAACTTCCTCTCCCCTGAACACATTCAAGAATCTACTCCATATGCATTACCAAACCTTAAAATATGTTCTTGCCTGTATTTTAGTCATATTACATGGAAAAACACACATATTCTGGAGGCATACTGTCAGCGTAGTTAATCTTTCACAGAAACAACAAATTAAATATGCTTTGTTTCTGCATGAGCTATGCCATACCTCACATATGCAGCCCACTGAGGTTTTGTTAACAACTTTCTTGAAACTACTACACAGTTGACTGAGACAAAGCTGGATTCTCTTGCTGCTGTTTATCAAGACTTTAAATCTGTTTTTAAATTCTAACCATCTACTACTAACCTACAGACTTGAATTTTATACCAACATTTGAGTATTACTTATCATATTTCTAACTGACTGCACTGAGGCACAAAAATTTCAGTCGTATTAAAACTGTGTTTAAAGTCTACGGCAAGCTGACCGGACTTTTCCACAAATCCACTTTGTGAAAAAATTAATTTTAATGGTAACATCAATCTACACTATTTAAACAGAGCATTATTGAGAGATTAATTTGAATTTGGGTTAGGCTTCAATACTATCTGAAAATGCTACCTATGAAATATACATTACATTATCCTATTAAAATGTACACATCATGAGGCTGACAACTCAAAAATATCAGCTTTGTTTTAAAATCCTCAGGAGCTAAGTAGTTACCAAAATACATTATTTACCTTTTCTTTTTTTTTTTCATTAATCTAACACAATGTAACACAACAAGTCTATGTCCTAAAGTGAAATATTTAATTTAATATCACAGCAGATCACAACCTTAGGGCATCTAAAGCCATCTTTCATTGCCTTATAAAGTGTATTTCAACCTAAACACACAACTTTAGAGATCAAAACTAGGAATTTGCTTATTTTATATTGAAGAGGCATTTGTTAGTCTGAAGATCAAATTAATCTGTCTTGTCTAATGTCTGAAGAGTTTTGCTCGATCAAGGACAGAAGACTCTGCTTCTACAATTTCTAATCAATGTACCCCTCCATTATGGAGATGCATCTGCTGGCAAAACACCCGTTTCCAAAGTTCTCTAAAACAGTGAAGGGGCAGAAGTTTAGCTCTTCAGTTTTTCAGACAAAATCCTATGCAGATAGCATGCCTCTTGATCAAACTTAGGACTGCCTTTTCTCAGGACAACTGTACAGTACTGCTCCCACCACACAACCCAAACCATGTTAAAACTGAGATCAACATCTCTAGCTGGGAAAGGCAGCGGCACTAGTTGTCAAGACCTGTGACTGCCATAAAATTCAAACCCAATGGCATGCTTACATGTTCTTGGAAAATGTTAAAACTCTTCTTTTCAAATTAAAAGGTGGTTAGTAGGCTTTTATCAACCACTGATGAAGCAAGCATAATACGTACTTGATTCACCATCCTCTCCTTTACTAGCAGAACCTGTGAAGAATATGCTTCCATCCTCAGCAACGAGTAAGGCATGTGAGCCATCATGTCCAACAGAGAACTGAATAATCTTTGGAGATTTTGTGATTGGGAGTTCAACCCATTTTCCTGCTCAAGGACCACCTTGTTTGATTCCAAGGCTCTGATATTTGCCAGTATAATAAATCTAGAAGAAAACAGTTTATAATTTTCAGTTATGCCACAGCACTTTAAACTTGCATAATTTTTAAAGTTGCACTGTTTTCAAAACCTGGAATTTCCAACCACATAGAACTTCTCCTGACATTGTTTACACCATTTCAATATCTTTAGCCCAAACCCATGAATTCTGACTTAATGGGAGAAACATTCTGATTAGATTCTGCCTGCTTTGAAATGCGCTTTTTACTGTGCCACAAAGTTAGTTTTTGTATATAATTGTTTGGCTAGATGAGTTGAACACACAAGAAAGAACTGTTCAGAAGAAACTACTCAGAGGAAATCAAGCCTTTAAAACACGAGAAATGTCTGTTCTGTGTAAAAACAAGATGTATTATAACAATAAAAATAATTAAAAATACCAAATTATGACAACTTTTCATATGCTGCAACACATTTTAAAAACTTATTTTCAGTAAATGCACAGTGGTCACACAGTACAAAAAGAGGAACACAGAATAAAGTATTTCATATGAACAAACACAAAACTACTGATATGGACAAAAAACTTCCTCTAGAACCATGCTACTCAGCAGTACTATGAAACGTGTGGGTTAACCTATGTGGGTACCTAAAGCCATCTTACATTGCCTTATAAAGTGTATTTCATAGCTAAACACAGAACTTTAGAGATCAAAACCAGGAAACTTGTTAACTTTATATTGAAAAGGCATTTGTTAGTCTGAAGATCAAATTAATCTGTCTCCTCTAATATCTGAAGAGTTCTGTTTGATCACATTCTGTTTCATATACTTAAATTTCATTAGGAAAAAACAGTTCAGTTTATTTATAAGCATTTTTCACCAATCTTGCTGTTTTGCTAGAAGCAGAGCAAGGGCTTCATTCCAACAAAGCAACACAATTCTGAACAAAGGAAAACAAAGAACTATGCTTATACAAGGAAAATAACATTAGTTTCCCAAACTGAAACAGAAGCACAGTAAATAATTGTCCTCGTTTCAGCCAGGGTAGAGTTAATTTTCTTCACAGAAGCTAGCGTGAGGCTATGTTTTGGATTTGGGATGAGAAAATGTTGATAAGGTGCTGATGTTTTGAGTTGTTGCTGAGTAGTCAAGGACAGTCCAGCTTCTCATGCCGGCCTGCACCAAGCAGGCTGGGGGTGCACGGGAAGCTGGGAGGGGACACAGCTGGGACAGCTGACCCAGGCTGGCCAAAGAGATATTCCATACCATATAACATCATGCTCGGTATATAAAGCTGGGACGAAGAAGAAGGAAGGGGTGGAGGGACGTTCGGAGTTATGGCGTCTGTCTTCCCAAGAAACCATTACGCGTGATGGAGCCCTGCTTCCCTGGAGATGGCTGAACACCTGCCTGCCCATGGGGAGTAGTGAACAAATTCCTTGTTTTGCTTTGCTTGCGTGCGTGGCTTTTGCTTTACTTATTAAACTGTCTTTATCTCAAACCATGAGTTTCCTCACTTTTACTCTTCTGATTCTCTCCCCCGTCCCACCGTGGGGGAGTGAGCAAGCGGCTGCGTGGTGCTTAGTTGCTGGCTGGGGCTAAACCACGACAATAATGTAAAAAGTGTCAGTAAGCATAATTATTTCTACATTTCAGTGAATATGCAAATGCCTCTGAAAAACAGTCTCGAACAGAATCAACATATCAAATCATTAAGATTAGGTTTAAAGAAATCAATTGAAAACTTTGCATAGGAAAAGTAAATAATTCTCTAAAGGATCAGAAAAATCAGGCTGGGATTTTAATAAATGACTATGGTCAGACTGTTTATGGAAAGTTATGAAGTAAAAAATTTTGCAAATGCGCTAATACATAATTTGTAGATAAAAGGTAATCTTGTCCCCCAAATCTAAAACAAAGCACCACATTGTCTCTAAGCAAGATTGACTGTAGAATTTCCTATAAATTCAAGCCACAGTTTTCTCAGTGGTTCCAACACCATCTGCTTATGTTTTCAAAAAACCATTTGCCTTTTTCTCTTTAAAGTGGGCTCTGAAAATGTATTTAAATACAGTCATATAAATTCATTCTAACATAATAAAAGGCTAAAAGGAATTGTGGAAACTACTAATTAAATTAAAAACCATGTAGAAACATATTGATACAATTTGCTAATTACTACAGAACATTTTCAGTACCTTTCCACTAGCAGTTTTCATTAGTGCAAACTCTCTTCCAGCACCAAGGACAGCCGATTCCTCATCAAACCCTGTACCTGTGCGAGTAAGATTGCGTTAACTGGACAGTTTAACCAGGCAGTTTTTACAGACCAGTTTATGGACCTAACTCTGCCAGGGAGAGTTTGTCACAAGAAAGGTTCTAAGAAAGTTACAAGCAGAAAGAAAGTTTTGCTGCCACAAGAAGGCTTACAGGGCTAGACCTGGCAAAGTTGTTCAAAGAGGAAAAAAGCACTAGCATAAGAGCAACTGCCCTTAGTCAGACCAAAGGTCCATGTAGACAAATATGCTTTTGTAGCAGACAACTAAGAGAGCAAAAAAACCCAAAAGCAAACGCCAAGTGATATTTCCTCAAAATACCTTCATAGACACCAACAATTTTGCATCTCAAATTCTGATGCAAAGGTGGTTTCCACATATTCAGTTATCTTTCAATGCATTACTTTTCCATGAATCTAGCCAGGCATCCTTTTAACTTTTGTTGATTTTGACCCACAGCAAGGAGTTCTACAGCTTAACTATGTGTTATACAAGCACGATTATGAAGTCCAAGCTTCAAACAATTATATATTTATTATACAACTGGAGGAAAACACTGGAAAACCATGGATAGTGCTATAGACAGAAAGGTGCTTCAAAATGAGTGTGCAGATTAGAGTCAAGTAACACTTAAGCAGTTTCAAAACCTTTGTACCTCTCCACATTGTTAATAATGGAGCTATACCTTCCTGCACATAAAAAAGGCAAAGAAAGGGAAGGGCAGTGTTCCAGTTTTATTATTTGAATTATTAGCTTGTTATTAACCTTCAAAGAAAAGGACTTACTGATAATGTGCAAGTCTTTCTCCAGATCAAACAATGAGATGCCACAGGCATGTAAACATTTTCTTGCAAGCTTAAGCTGCAGTTCTTGTTGCAGTACTGGCTCAGTACTCGTTGCAAATATTCGCACTACAAAGCCATCCTGCAATAAATTAAAAAAATCTTTATACTGTGTAATAAATGCAATCACCTACTTTTCATGGCCTAAGTGCATCAGTATAATATTATTTCAGAATAAATTATCAGAGGATACATTGATAAAGTTATTATAGAGGAGAACAGGAAGTGCCAAATGGGAGGAGCTGAAGATAAGTATCTGACAAATATTAAACATATATTGAATTCTATGAAAACACTAGGAATGCTATGAAAATAGTAAATTGCTATAGAAATAATTAACTCTGAATCTCACTATAGAAATCTTGCTTTTGTAACTATTCACACCTGTCTCTTAAGTAGTCCGCTTTTCCCAATTCAGAACCCAAAATTCTGCATGCAGTTTAAGAGTGGTTGCTTTAAAGAGTAGCTAAAACAGGTTTCTGTTTACAAGTGCAGATGAAGTATCTTCATCTGGCCATGTTAAAAAAAAGTTGTTCCATTAGCAGGGAAACAGATTAATCCTGGTTTTCTTATAGTTGCATGTCTAGCACCTCTTGCCAACTCTGTCTCACCCCACCTCTGCCCCATGTCTATTTTACAGCTTTCTCACTGTCAAAAACAAGTGACCAGTCCAGAACTGAGAATGTAATAACCAAACAAAACAGAACAGCTAGAACTGTTTTGCCCCTAGTAGAAGCATTTATTTGGGTTTCCACAGCTTTGGCCAACCAGCAATTTTCATATAAAAATCTATTGGTATGTAGTATCTTTTTTACCTCTTCTATTAAATCTGGCTCAAGTTCCCCAACAAGTATGAAAGCAATTACAGGAAATTAAATTAGGAAAAAAAATTATAATTAAGCTCCAAGAAGCTTACCCCACAGAGACCCTGTAGAATAACATGTTTAAAAGCCACTATTCCACATATAAGATTTTTTTCCTCAGAAAAAGCAAAAAAGGTTTCCTTAAAACTTATCTGCAAAATCAAAAAGATCTGAAAAATCTACCACAAATCAAAACTGTATGGATAAATACCAAAATACTGCTCCCTTATGCCCAAACATGGCAGCTTCTCGTTATCTCTAGTTACATGTATTTCTTCTTTAGTTGTGTTAGCAAAGAAAAAGTCAAATACTAAGCAAAAAGGAAGCTATACATATTATAAAATAAAACAATGCAGCTGAGAGAAAAATAGCGTACCCATCATATGCAATACTTACATCTCTAGATGCTGCTATTTGATTAATATATTCTCCATCAGTGAAAAGGATATTCTGCCCTTCAGTATGACAATCTGAGAGAGAAAGATGAAATGCACTGCATCAGTTTACATTAACATACATGACACTGTTCTCTGATTCTGTCTAATTCACCCTTGCCACAATCAGACTACGAGAGTTCTAGTTTGTCTAAAGAGAGATTATACTGTTCTGGTAATATGCTATTTTATGCTGGGATCTCCCCTCTCACCAAAAGCATACAATATTCCTTTGTCCCTTTAAGAGCTATTAAAATACTTTCCATTGTATGAAATGTAAGGGGTTACCCCAATATTTAACTGCAAAAGCGTTTAGTTAGAATACCTGTGAGGGGTATTCTAAACTATTAAAACACAATTAGTCTTTCTCCTTCCCCAAAGACTTTTTAAATAAGGGCCATTATCTTTAAAGGAAAGTTTCCTCAGTCCAGCATATAAAACCTACAAAAATAAACGAAACATAATCCAACTTTTCATTATTCATCTAATTTTTCCATTGTTTATAATTTTTCCATAATTATAACATTTTGGCAAAATAGTTTTTTTGCCAAACTATTAACTGAAAACCTAGGGTTTTTTGAAAACTCCAAAGCATATACTGGAATGCATGACTCATTCATTGAAAACAGGTCAGCTATTTCCAAGAAAAAAGGTAGGAAAAGAATTCTGCCCATATTAGGGGAAAAAAGAAAAAGACCACTTTCTCTACAAGTTTGAAAGTATGTCCTTAAACCATCTCTTCTTCCCTTCCTGCTTTGCTGATGGAGCTTCTAACAAGGAGGTTGACATTACGTGACTTGTAAGGTGCTTGTTTCACTGATTACACACAGGAAAAAGACCTCTTCTAAAAATACTACAGGACAGCTACTTTACACTCTAAATATCTGCTTCATAACCTGAACAAAGATCCAGTATCAGTCATTTTACCTAACAAATATAATGCTAAATGAAGCACACATAATATCCTTCCGACATAACCAGCAAGTTTGCTATTTTTTGCTAGCTAGCTGGAATGCTTTATTAAAAATAATACAGCTGAAAAAAACACACAGTATTCAGAAACCCATAAACTTGTTTACTTTTTCCTGCTATACTGCCCAGTCCAGTATACTGCCCAGTGCAATCCAGTACTTTACTAAGAATAAAATATGCATTAGGTGGCCTTCTCTAATTCTCATGTCTTGAAGTAGCAGAACTAAAGTAGACAACCTCCCCCTTGAGAGCACACAAAGGTATGAAGCACAAAGAGGGTAAGCAGCAAGCAGGATTGAGAATGGCAGATACACTAAAGTTTGAAATATTGCTCACTCAAGAATAATCTTGGATTTAATGACCAAAGTCCATTCATGGTACTAATTCTCTATGCTGCAAAGTGACACTAGTGATAAAACAAAACAGTTGTCAATAACCTGAAGTTCCAAAAATAATCTAAATTGCATTTCTGAAAGATTCTAGGAAGTTGGTAACTATTAAAATGCCTTGAATGGCTGAAAATGATGTGCTTACATAAGCATAAGAGTCAAGGAAGCAGGATATTCTGGCCACCAGCAGGTCCCTATTACACGGTTTGGCCTATTTCTTGAGCCATTTCAAGAAGAGGCAAGGTTCCCAGTAAACATTTTTGAGGGTTGTTTATATGTTTGGTATGTGTGTTCATAGAAGAAATCTGGAACAGGAATGCTTTTCTTCTTTTAAAAAAAAATATGTTCTTCAGAAGACTTCCTAAAGATTAGCACTTGACTAGATAGCAGCCAGGCCCAGCATTAAATAACAAATTAATAGGGAGAGTAGAAAATGGAAGGCAAATGGGATATCTGTAAATAGTAAGATAGTATAATGTCTCAGCTAGCAAGGAGTTCTTATGATCAGTTGTGATCTTGTTCAGTCTAACTTTGGAAGTTACTCTGGGGATGAAGATATCCACGGTTTCTGTCTAGAGATTACTGTAACAGAAAGGGCTTATGTTTTACTTAAAGGACATAACTACAGACATCTGTTAATCACAGCCTCCTTAGAGGCTTCAAGAGAAGATGACTGTCAAGAATCACTTTCCATATTTATATAGTGCATTGTGTGCCTGCTAATAAGTACTTTTGAGCTTTTCTAGGCTACCCTCAGCAGTACTTTTCAGACTGAGTAGTCTTAAGTTCCAAGATATTCATGTGTAATTTCAAAGAACAATGAAACCATATACCATGTAACTTCAATGTCTTCAGCTGAACATAGCAACCTTTCTCTAAGGTATGTAGCAAGCATTACTGTTTAAGAAACAGTCAAGATGAAAACCTCATCTGTAAATTCAGATTCAATCACCTAGAAAATCTCATAGAACTCAGGGATTCTTTTATGATATTTGGACTTGGAAAACAGATCCACAGCTCAAGGACAGTGTATCAAAGCTTGGCAAAGGCATTAAATACAAGAACACAGTCTGGTAGTTCCAGATACATTGTCAGATTTGCTAGATCATCTATTAGAGTGGAAAGACTGTCCTTTGAAATAGAAGTTTATGGTTTCAAGAAGCTGGTGGATCCTACTGTCTGAGAAAGGAGAAGATGATGCTCCATAGTTCACTGAGTTTTCTAAGGTCACATGACTTCTAGCTAGGATCAGCTCCTAATCACATCTCCTAATTAATTCCTAATCTCCTATGTACCCTTGTATGAATACATATGAATACCTTATTTAAATGCATTATCACCAGCCCAGGTGTTTGAAAGAGATAACTCCAGATAGAGCCATACCATACCAACTAGAACGAAACAGCTGGAGTCATATCAGTGTTCAGCTGTTAGCAAGGTTACTGTCCTGTAGTTCTACCTGGTGTGGTTTTTCAGAACTACAACATGCTGCAAGTCATTATTAAGATTACAGTGGGGCAGCCACTACTATTTGGAGTTATGTGCCTACTCGGGTTTCCTCAGGATAGGTCACATACCCTCCTTCTAATGAGAAACAGAAATAACCAGAAGTCGACCCCTTTGAATTTCTCCTAGCCAAAAGAACAAAGCCGTATCTGCTCACAATATAACGCTGAGATAAATGTGAAGTGCAGAAAGTAAAACAGCAAAGTTAAAGGGCTGAAATACAAAGAGTAGTAGATATGAAGAACACCTAGCATCCACTTTGATACCATCATAAACCATATGAAATGCAATTATGTGAAATAGTTTGACAGATCTCTGAATGGGTATTCCCACAATTACAAGATTTGCTTTTGCACTGAAAGATTAATACATTTTTGTTTAGAAGGCATACTCTCATTTAATTTGTGCCTTTTATAGTATAAACATGACTGTCTTGCAGAATGACACTTGTTACTGAGATATGCAAAAGAAAGCTGACAGCTCAGAGGTGTAGACTTTAAATGTGCTCAAGTGCCTCTTAAGACTTGCATGAAGAGCACTGATTCGTTTACGAATTGTAACATAATTATGGATGTCAAAGGAGCCTATTGGTTGAAGAAGCTGCCTTGAGGTGAAGAAAATGGAAAAACAATCCTACAAGGCAATCTGTCAGGTCCTTGAATGTGCTCTCACTCAAATTTCTGATACAGCTCCACAAAGACCAAGCAGCTTAAACAGACATCCACATTTTAAGGACTTGCAGAGAGTTGCATAGATGAGATTCTACATTCATAGTTTGTTTTAAAAAATACTGCGTGTGTCTGAAATACAAAAAGCCCAGAGAATTTTTCTGAGGTTTCAGTCAGTGCCTTCTTATTTATGTCAGGATGCAAAACAAATTCTTTCTTCTGATCCATAGAATAAATGTGTCATTGTGAAGCTGAAAGATATTCTTGTACCCTTCTACTGTTTACGTGAGTGGCTAAGAACAGATGTGTTTCACCAGAAAGCCATTAAAGCATGTTCCAGGAACATCCTAATTTTCTAAACAGACTCCCAAGCTATGAGGCACCTCTGGAAAACAAACAAACAAAAAACCCCCACAACCAAACAAAAACAAAACAAAAATTTCAAAACGCATAATCAAAAACCCACCACCAATTTAAATATCAGAAGCATGGTCCATCAGTGTTCATTAGCATCCTTGGTTTTTTAGATACATTTCTACCTATATTGAAAACAAAATGGTTTTGGTCATAGTTTGTAACTCACTATGTGTAAGAGATACTGGAAACCAAGTCATATCTGAGCCAAATGGTCAAAATTCAAACAAGGAAGTAATAAAAATTCTTTAAGAAGGAAGTTAAGCTCTTGGAGTCTTTAAATTAAATGACCATACATTCTAAAATCTTGCAGTACTCTTCCAGTAGTTGGAGTAAGATGCAAGACCTCTGAATGACATACTGCAGCTGGTCTAATGCAGCAAACCAGAGTCATAAAAAAGCAGTCTCTTTCTGCTCTCAAAAATCTATCTCAGTTTCTCTTCTGCTTACCTGAAAATACATAGTATGTAAACAGTAAACTATAACCATCTTCTCATATCTGGAGGTTCATACCTGGCAAAGCAACTGTACCGTCTTGTTCCAGAGTTTCAGGGTTTATTCGTACGGCTGTCATACTGTGATTATTTGCATCTCTATATAATAAATAACCCTGGTAAGAGTAAGAATATATATGTCGGTATGAAAATATTCTTAAATATATCAAAGGATATTGTCAAAAGTGAAAATAATGCAATTTTTATTTAAGGTATTGTTTAAAAATTTTGGAAACCTCTTATTTTTACATCAAATTTGCTTCATTTTGATAACCAACTTTTTGCCACTAATCAAATAAGCAGTAAAAACCAGAAATTTGACCCCATTCCTCCACACTTTCTACATACTGTAGATCAGCATGCTGAAGCTTGTATACAGCTTTTGAAGCCACACATAGTAATTCTGTTCTTCATATGTGTATATAATTACAGTTAAAAACCACAGTAAAAAACAATGCTCCTGTCCTCACTTTCCAAATCAACTAAAGATTCACAGGAATTACAGGAAGGAGATACATATATTGCCCTACACAGAAGAGTGATCATCAACTAATATTAAATATGTGCATTAAAAACTAGAGAATTTTTCCAAAATGTTAACTACTTTGACTCCCACACTAACAAGATTCTATGCATTTATTCTTTCTGAGCTCTTCATCAAAGAAATTCCCACAAAATACATGGTGGGACGTATTTTTGGTATGTATATATTTGGTAACAGCAGCCATGACACAAGGTTACGTAAAATGAGTTCTTACACTGCTCACCTCCCAACTTCTAACCAAACCTAAAGAAAGGGAGATATTCAGGACTAACGATCTCCTCTTTCTTTTTCTCCATGTGCAGAATACCTTCATATCCCCAAATTTACCTATTCTGGTCAGCAGCCTACATCAAAAAGTCTCCCTTGGTATACCAAAATAGTACCTTCTCTCTGTTCATATGTATATATTTTTTAAAGAATTGATACAATCACCAGTTTAGAAGGTTTCTCAGTAAAAAGATCTGCCTATCTGAAACTCACATTTGAGTTTTATTGTTTATACCTATAATTTTGAGTGCACTTTCAAACACACACAGTCAAGTAAGTTTTGCTTTAGCTCAAACTAGATAGGTTGCATAAGCCCCCACGTTTGCATAATGTGCACAGATCCGTAAGAGAAGCAGTATGGCAACTTTGCTCTTGTATCTTTTTCGATCCTACAACGCCTGTGAACCCTTCAAAGATTTTGAGGGAGCAGGGTAGAAACACAGTTGGGGAATTTACACTTAGAAAGCACTTCCACTATAAAAGCAGCTAAAGAAAAGGAAAAAGATTACTTAAGGGTACTTATGAACATACTCATTTAAGGTGACTGAGGCCAAGCAAAGTAGCATGCACCTACAGGAGGGTTGCGGAGGCCAACATGAATAATGACTAAGTAATGATTCTGACAACAGCAGTGTCATAGCAGGAGATATGACAATGGCTTGCAGTTGCCTGAAGCATGACTGGCCTCAGGTGGGGATTCTACACAGCTAAGAATGGACGCATTTCACAGGGAGGTCACTAAGGCTTAACCTCAGAATATCTTCATTTGTCAAAGAGTCAGAGACCATAACTACAATCATCTAACAACAGAAAAATCTAACCAACCCTCTTCCTTCCATCTAAACTACTTGAATTTTCCTGGATAAATCAATCTCTGTGAAATGAAGAAAACCAAACCTACACAAACTAGGAAAAATAAGTAAAGAGCATTAAAGTAGATAGAAAAGCTCCAGCCTAAAATAACTTATATGATGAGGTAAGAAAAAAAAAAAAAAATCACATGAATTTGAGCCTACTTAACCAAGCACCTGAAGGGAAATGAGACTGAGGACACATCTTACCTCTTTTACAGACACATACTTAGCAATAAGTGCAACTTACATATCTTCCTATAAATATAGCCCCAGAGTGACATTTTTCCAACTAGAAGTGCCTTTGGGTACAGTCACTGTGTGAGCGCATATACATGTACAAGCACTCAAAGAACTTCAAATATATTTATAGCTATGTACAGAATGTCCAAATGTGTAACTCTATATAGTAAAACTGTATGGATCCTATTTCTTTCCAAACTGAGCACAAGCTCCTGAATGAATGTATTCACACACATTTGTATTGCACTAGTATACCTTTTGGTGATCTACTGTTTTAATACTTAAACCCCCCCGCCCCCCCCCGATTTCATATATATATATACACACACACACATACATATAATAAGCGTAACAATAGAATATATATTCGTAACTAACAATTTCACTTCAAAAGCATGGCAAGGGGTACACTTAATTTCACACTGGGACAATGAGATCACTCAGTTAAGAGTAAATATACAATAAAAATTGCTCAGTAGTTAAAAATGAAGCAAATTCATTGTTCTCTGAAATTTTATTGGAGGGGGAGCTGGTTTTTTTTTGGTTTTTTTGGTCTGTTTGCTTAGGGTTTTTGAAAGACAGCACACTCAGCAGTAATAATAGGAATCTAAAAAAACTCACTACTTTTTTAATGAATGGCAAAGATGTAAGAAAAGGTGATTGATATTCCAGAAACTGACTAACTCTAAGAAAACAAAACATCCAAATATAGTTAATTCCACAGCGGTAACGTCAATAATTATCTCTACTTATGGTTTACACACCCTCAATCCTCCCCCAACCAAAATAGCACCTGCTTATTTTACTGCAAATATTTTAAAATCAATTTATTTTCACAAATAGATATTTCAAGTATTTTTTTACATTATTTTGTTACAACAGCACATTTTTACATCCAACTTCATTATTTAAAAAGCATGTCAGTTGACTGTACAATTAATAAATTTACGTGTTAAACTACTGTATTTTCTGAAAGTCTTTACAGTGACAACACAAATCAGTGACACTTCGCATTACTCCTTTCTATATGCCAGTACCATCAGATGTCCCTCATCTTCCACAATTTAAAAGTCAGTACCAAAATATTGATTTTTATAACTGAAGCCAAAGGAAAAATACAATATCCGTGTATGATTACTCTAAGCCAAAGTCTACTTAAATTACTCATGAGGGCTGGGGTGCACTTTTTATGTTTTAATTATTCACCTACCTGAGCATAGCCTAACCAAGACTTTTTTTCCTTTCTGTTTTTGATGCGGGATGTTGAATTATATATATGGCCCTGAAAAGCAAAAAATTCCAATCTTTTAACAAATATCGGTGACATTTTTACACATAATCATTTACTATCTAAATAACAATGTCTTCAACCATACTAAAAATTTAAAAATTTTAAGAAAATGCTGTAAATTTCTCATAGAAATCATCAGAAAAAGTCAGACAAACTGTAAAAGAACTGATCATTAGTCAGATACAAAAGATTCTCAATGGAAACAGGACATCATAAAAGTTAAGTTAAAATATTAACTATCTTCATCAGACAAGAAGAAATCACATTACCCTTACTGTCCCACTATATCCAGAGCCAATTTTGTAAAGTCCATCTTTACATAAGAGATAAAGGAAAAAACCATCACTCTGAAGTAGGCACTGGTCATCTTCATCTACAGATATTTCTTTCAGTGGCCATTTGTGCATCAAGGCTGCCTTTTTTATCCCATTACTGAACCAGTCTTGGATTTGGATTTTGCCCACCAGAACTGCCTGCACACTCCGCTGAAGAGAATTTAAAATGGTTGGCACCTAAACAGTAAAAGAAATTGTGAGTGAATGAAAAACATGACTATTTTCTAAATGTTGTATTTTCTGTTCTATCTCCAACTGAAGAGAGATTAAGAAATACCTACTCATATCAAAAATAGTGAGGAGTAAAAAGTTAATTGAATTTACACAACAGATCTTCTCAGAACTCATTTACATAAATTCCCAGATACAGAGAAGCTTTAGTGCAAGACCTGAATAGTCTGACAAGCATGGCTGCCATTATTGGTGAGTATAGCAGAGATCGCTTGCAACGTTCTTCCCGTCTCTCCCCATGCAGCTACCAAACTGAAGAGGCAAGCGCAGGAAAGCGCTGTCAAGGACTGTCCTGTACTGTCATTCATTCCTGTGCTACGGACAGTTATCTCCAGGAGAAGCTGGAACAGGGATTCTGCAGGTAAAACACAGCAAGTACAGACAAGTCACAAAATCATGCCAAGCAATTTGCCAGTCAATGGGAAATTAAACTTACAAAATACATGATACCTCTTTCTTCAGCCATTAAGTCTAGCCCTATTTCCAGACAGAAAAAAAAAAAAGCATCCCACTTAAATAGGCCTACAACTTAACTTTTCATTCTTTTTCAGCCAGAACATGTTGTGTCTTGATAATTACAATGGCCGGAGAACAAGAAAAACTAAATCCTTCTGTTACAGTGGAACACATTAATAAGAAGTGGGCCAGAAGTTATTTTACCTGCCTATTCAGTCTACTGTGTCACTGAGATGATGGGTAGGTATTGACCAACCTTGTCTAATCTTTATGACCATTACCCATGTTGAAGAACATCCCATTTCTCAGAAAAGAGCATTTCAAATCAAAGCTTGAAAATTACTTTAATCGTATGCATCTTTTCAAGCACTGTTTAGCGGCTGAACATCTGTAACAATCAAGGTGTGAACAGAAATCCACCTCAATTTTTTTGACAGTATATACAAATAAAAACTAAGGCAGTAATCAAAACAAAGCCTTCTTTGTAGCCTTTCATTACTCTGTGTGCCAGTACAAAATAAAAGCTTTCTGTAGCAAATTACTATCATCTTTGGAAACAGAATATTGTTGAGCCATAACAGGGAAAATATACATAGAAATTCTTAATATATATATATTTTTTTATTTTTAAACAACAAATGCTACAGCCTGGCCTTCCTTGCGGTTCTACAAACAAGTAAAAACTATGAATTAACAAGAGATAACTGTATTTCATCTTAAAGGACATAATCAATCATACATTGAAAGCCATCAGGAGTTCAACTTTTATTTTCAGTATCATTAAAGCAAGATGAATTTTCAGGGAAACTTTTGGATGTCCAAAGAAAATAAAAGCAAGAATTCTGACACTTCATTTAGCAGCTTTATATAAATCACAACATTAAACAGCTAAACCATGAATTACAACAGCAGATCACAAGAGAAGTTCACTGTAGAACTATCTTCTTTCCAATAAGGCCAAGTATTTTGTACTTGGAGTACTGCATCCAGCTCTGGAGCCCCATGGAGCCCTCAGCACAGGAAAGACATGGACCTGTTGGAGAGGGTCCAGAGAAGGCCACAAGAATGATCAGAGAGATGGAACACCTCCTCCTGTGAGGACAGGCTGAGAGAGTTAGGGTTGTTTAGACTGGAGGAGAGAAGGCTCCAGGGAGACCTGACTGCAGCCCTCCACTACTTCAAGGGGGCTTATATGAAAGATGGGGACAGGCTTTTTAGCAGGGCAATAGGACAAGGAGTAACCGTTTTAAACTAAAAGACAGTAGATTTAGACTAGATCCAAGGAAGAAATTTTTTGCAGTGAGTGTGGTGAAACCCTGGCACAGGTTGCCCAGAGAGGTGATAGATGCCCCATCCCTGGAAATATTCAAGGTCAGGTTGGACAGCGCTCTGAGCAACCTCCTCTAGTTGAAGATGTCCCTGCTCATTAGAGGGAGAGTTGGACTAGATGACCTTTAAAAGTTCCTTCCAACCCAAACTACTCCATGATTCTATGATTTTATAGCTTCAGTAAGACAAATGATTCACCATTTGTAATGTTGTTTACTATGTTTCAGTGAAACTGCATAACATGGCAACAAAATATGACTTTTTATTAAATATAGATACTTTTACATGCCAACATTCCTGTTCTGCAAAAGATTAATGCTGAGAAAGTACTGGTTACATACACCATAAGGAGTTAACGTTCCAGAATAAAGTCAGTCTTGAGAACAAGCATGTTACTATCTCACAAATACTTGCAAGGAACCATTTTCTTCTGTCCAATACAGTAATAGATGTATATTAATACAAACACAGTAACAGATGAGATATTACCTAGGACTTCAGGAGGCTCTGATTGCAGGCCTTCCGGTTGCTGGCCCTGGAGCACATTAAGTAGGGCTTGTAGGCTCCTGAGACACAAGGATGGATGAGAAAATCTCGTCTCCTTTATCAGCTCAAAGACTTCACATAATCCAACTTCAATGATCTAAAGAAGTATAGATATTTCAGAATATCTGTTAATATAATATTTTTGGGTCTTCATTAATAAAGGTATTATCCTAGCGTTGACAGAACAAGACAGTTATTTGGATAACAAAGATATAATACAGAATACAATGGTAATTCAAGAGAGAATCAAAATCAAGAACCCACCTACACAACTGTACTAGCAAATATTACACAAAAGTAATGTCATTATATGAAAGAGCATATCCAAGCAGAGTAATAGTTCCCTGAAAAAATAAGGAAACTTAAATTTTTTTGGACAACGTAAGACAAACTGTTCCTCTAAGCCGTTCTAATTTCTATTGAGTTCACACTTCATTTGACAGACCTCTTCTTCCTTTTTCCTTGTTCTTTAATGTGAGCCAGCAAGCTGGAATTGGCTTGCAACCTGACTTCCCAACTTGCATAATGATATGTTTGACAGCTGATACTGGCAGCACTAGTACCTTCCCCTCCAAAACCTCTGAGATTGTTCTTGTTATAAAAAATAAAGACCAATTACTTGTCACTAAAACTCCATATGTACTCATCATAGACATGCATTATGCCAAGTAATACATCTCCTAACTTTCCCTTTTAGCATTCCTGAATATTCTGAGATTACAATTATGCTTCTCTCCACTGACTCCTCCCTTTCACTTCCTTCTCAAACTCAGTATGTAATAATGATGAGGATGAAAGAAAAACTGACAGGGTTAACACATTACAAATAAGCAACCATATCTTCAAAACTTTACTATGTGTTTCTGTCAAGAGCAGAGCCCCATGTTTAGAGTGTTTAACATAGATTCAGCTCTGAATAAAATCTAAGGGAAAAAAAAGACTGAAATGTGAAAATAAAATTGTTAATGGAACTGCCACTCATGCTTAAAACAGATCTATTCTGACAGTCAGCTATAAGTTCTACTGGATGCCTTGGAATTGTCTTTGCTGTCATTCAATTTATTTCCTGTCTTTCAGAAGTTATTTTACCACCTGTTTGATTTTTGGAGGAAGAACAGAAACATAACCAAATCAAGCCCTCAAAGTGCAACAGCAATGTTCATGCAGTTTGCACCTTACATTTCATATCTTCAATGGAGCAGGGGAAAACACACACATGGAATCTACAGGGGAAAAAAAACCTGTCAATAAAAAAACACCAGAGATGGATACAGATAGTATCTCTGAGACAAACTGAGAATTTATTCTATTCTTTCCAATCTTCAGACAGGAGACCTCATATAGCAGCTGACAGAGGCGGCTGGAGAAAGCAGAAAACCTTATACAGTGGAGAAAATAATTTGGTTAACTTCCACTACAGTAGGAATCAACAATGGATAGTTGGGATAGCTGGGATTTTGCCTGATCTGCGGTGGTTTTGGGTTGGGTTTTTTAGTATCTGAGGTCAAGAGACTGGGTAGGCTTCTTAAAAGAGGTCTCTCCACCTTTACATACATACATATATATATATGTATGTATACATATATGTGCGTGTGTATACATATATATAATGTGGGTATATCTCTCTCAGCTCCTCCAAACTGTGCACTGAATGACAGAATAAGCAAACAATTCTTTTCAAGACATTTCAAGCTTGTTCTCACTGCTCTTTGAAGGGTCTCTGAGCCAAAACAAGCACACCTGCAGCCTTGGTCTCTGTCACAGCCTGCCAGCTCTTGCTGATGCTCTCCACACAGCCATCCTCCTGTTCCCTTTGCAACATCTTTGAGACACTGGATCAACAGCGTAAGCTCACCTTAAGAAGGGCACAGAAAATTCTAGCCTAGATGCAGACATTATGATCATAATAATTCCTCCAAAAAAACTGTTTCTTCAAGAATTCTTATCCACACATCCATATTTTACTTCCTTTGCCTCCCCTCTCTCATAACTGCCCAATACCCACATTTCTATGTTTATTTAGGAATACATAATACACCGTATGTTTAATTTATATGTATCTTATATACAAACAAAAAAATACTTTACACAGCTAACACATTCTCCTAATGAGCTTTAAAAGACTTAAAGTCAGTTTCTAAACAGAGTAATTATTTTTCTTCTGATTTTTGTTACAACTTGAAAATTTTCATTTTCGCTTAAACTCATTAGCTAAACAGCAAAATGTATGCCACTGCAGGACAAAGAATATTTAGCCAGTTAATCCCACCTTAATCCAGCATTTGTTCCTTTTAGTACAGGGCTTTTGTGGATCATCCATAACCCAGTGTTTAGTATTGGGCAGGGGGAGCAAATGCAAATCAAATTAGTAAAACTGAATGTGCCCTAACTCAAGTAGAAAGAATTCCCCATCATTAGCAAAGGTACTAAATAAGCTAGGCAAAGGCAATTATTTCATGTAAATCCAAAAATTTAAAGCTAGCAAAGCAAGTTACTAAACTGTCCAAGCACAACCAAAATACAAATGTTACTGTGTTAATACCTGAAGACCAGCAAATTGTGTCTCTCAACATTTGTTAAAAAGAATCATTCTCAATCTTATTATAGAAATCGCATAGGACAACTTTTAGTTCCGTCCTGGTTTCGGCTGGGACAGAGTTAATTTTCTTCCTGATAGTTGGTATAGTGCTGTGTTTTGGATTTGGGATGAAAATAATGTTGATAACGTGCTGATGTTTTGGGTTGTTGCTAAGTAGTCAAGGACAGCCCAGCTTCTCGTGCTGGTCTGACAGCGAGCAGGCTGGGGGTGCATTGGAAGCTGGGAGGGGACACAGCCAGGACAACTGACCCAAACTCGGCAAAGGGATATTCCATACCATATGACATCATGCTTGGTATATAAAGCTGGAGTGAAGAAGAAGGAAGAGGAGGGGGGATGTTCAGAGTTATGGTGTCCGTCTTTCCAAGTAACTATTATGCATGATGGAGCCCTGCTTTCTTGGAGATGGCTGAACACCTGCCTGCCAATGGGAAGCAGTGAATGAATTCCTTGCTTTGCTTTGCTTGCGTGCACAGCTTTTGCTTTACCTATTAAACTGTCTTCATCTCAACCCATGAGCTTCCTCACTTTTACTCCTGATTTTCACCCCCATCCCCCCGGGGCGGGGGGAGAAGTGAGCAAGCAGCAGTGTGGTGCTTAATTGCTGGCTGCGGTTAAAGCACAACAAATAAAAGCCCTAACAAACCTGACTTCCTAAAGTTTAAGATTTAAAAAAAAAAAAAAGAGATACTTCAATAGAACACCTGAGTTACATAAAAAGTAGAATCTTTTCAACATATTCTCAATTAAATGAACAATTTTCATGGACCAAAAAAACATACCAAGGATTAACTTCACCATTTTAACTCTGGAGAATCTGGAAAAGCACAAATCCTGGTTATACCGTTTTTTGAATGTGACTTTCACCTCACTATCAAACTCAAAAGACATAAGTATTCTTTTTAATAAGCTAACAATTACTTTCAGAAACTGGTCTAGTAAAAATTGTAAGCCTTAGAAACTTCAATAATTTACTTCTTTATAGACTAAGCCCAACCAAATATTGTTCACTATATATAAGAACAAGACCATACTCAAAGCATGAGACAGACACCAATATTCATGACTGTTGTGGTTTTCCCCCAAAGGTAGCTAAAACAACCACACAGCCATTCACTCACCCTCCCCTGTTGAGAGGGATAGGAGAGAATGAGGGGGGAAAAAATGGCAGAACTCGTGGGTTGAGATAAAGACAGTTTAATAGGACAGGAAAAAAGTAAAAATAATAATGATAAGAGAATATACAAAACAAGTGATGCACAGCACAATTGCTCACCACCTGCTGACCAATGCCCACTTAGTTTCCGAGTTGAAGCATCTCCCTGGCCAGCTCCTCCAGTTTATATATTGAGCGTGACATCATATGGTATGGAATATCCCTTTGCTGAGTTTGGGTCAGCTGTCATGGCTGTGTCCCCTCCCAGCTTCCAACGCACTCCCAGCCTTCTTGCTGGCAGGCCAGCACGAGAAGCTGAATAGTCCCTGACTGCTTAGCAACAATTGAAAACATCAGTATGTTATCAACATTATTTTCATCCCAAATCCAAAACACAGAACTATACCAACTATCAGGAAGAAAATTAACTCTATCCCAGCTGAAACCTGGACAAGGATAGAAAGACATTTGATACAAAGACATAGTCAGCCTCTAAAAGTTTTACTGCTTGTGAGACAGCTCCAAGTGGATACCATTTTCAAATACATAGATGCAAGTGAAATTAATAATAAAAAGTGTCTTACCTTAGAGGGACCTAACCAATCCAACATTTGGGCCCCTCGCTACAAGAAGGACACTGAGTTGCTGAAGTGTGTCCAGAGAAGGGCAACAAAGCTGCTCAGGGTCTGGAGAACAAGTCTTATGAGGAACAGCTGAGGGAACTGGGATTGTTTAGGCTGGAGAAGAGAAGGCTGAGGGGAGACCTTATCGCTCTCTACAACTACCTGAAAGGGGGTTGTATCGAGGTGGGTGTTGGTCTCTTCTCCCAAGTAACTAGCAACAGGACGAGAAGAAATGGCCTCAAGTTGCACTAGGGGAAGTTTAGACTGGATATTAGGAAAAATTTTCTGTACTGAAAGAGTGGTCAGGCATTGGAACAGGCTGCTCAGGGAGGTGGTGGAGTCACCATCACTGGAGGTGTTCAAAAAATGTGTAGACGTGTCACTCTGGGACATGGTCTAGTGGGCATGGTGGTGTTGGGTTGATGGTTGGACTTAATGATCTTAGAGGTCTTTTCCAACCTTAATGATTCTATGATTCTAAAAATACTGAGGTTGTACCAAGCATCTAAACTATTGTTGAATCAGTAAATATTCCTGAACTCTTTGATACTTTGTAGATTCTTTGCTAAAAATGAATAGTTTGAAAGCATACTGATTTTCATCAATTTTATATCTGCTGTATTAAATTTAACAAAAGAGCTGACTGATATTCTGTTTTGAGAAAAGTAAAGTTTCCTACCTAGAGTTTCCATACCATTTTTTCTAAGCCATCTTCATTTTAGAACTGCACCACTTTTCCAAATCTCTTTTTGAGAGGTATTTAACAATACCAATGTTTTAGTTTGACATGCAAGTGTTCTGTCCATATCAGTGGTAAACCTCATCCTTCTCTGAACCTCTTTGAATTTCAAAATCTCTTTAAAACTCCATTCCCTTCTTTATAAATGCTAATAACTACATCTCCTTTTACTTAAAATTTCAAATTAAGCATCTACAAGCACTTGCTGATTCATTTAATATAATCCACAAGGAGTCAGATGCAGTCCATCAACAGTGCTAGCTTTATTTCTACTGACTGCACATTATTTTACAACTATCAACCATGAAATTCCAGGTAGCATGTTGTAGTTACCTGACTTGGTTGTGTTCTTCTGCAATTCTCCACCATTGTTTCCAGAGTGCCCACTTTGCCCTTCAGATAATACTAAACACAATCATCTATAAAATTCTAATTTTCTAAGCAACTAGAACATTCAACATAATCACTGCTGCAACAACCTTTTTAATTCAGTATTTGTATGGTTTTTAGAGCAAATACAAACAAGGGAAGTTACTCTGAACATGCTTTTTATAGACTCAGAAGAATAACAAAAGGAAGTGGCATTCATAGCATTAATAATGTAACAATGAACAAAACTGAATGCACAGAAGTTACATAGTACAAAACAAGTGAATCAGCAAACTAAAAAAATTAAGAAAAAAGATCAGTAACTCCTATATAGATTATTTCTGACTTTCCACCATTAATCCTACTCTAAGCATAGAAGTACTAAACAGTAAAAAGCCTACCCTAACTGTTGAACTATAGTGTTCAAAAATCTTAATGTGCATTGCTAATTATCTACAGTTGTCAGTGCCAAAAGGCACTAAAGCCAAAAAGGGAAAATATTTTAAAAAATTAAGTAGTAAGAATAACTGACAGTTACTGCAATTACGTATATACCTGGCAAATTTTAGAAAACACTCCACGATCTGAATTCCAATAGCAGAAAGATTTATTTTGGGGGGTAAAGCAACAGAAAGCACCCTTTATCATACTGGCTAGTAGCCTCTGACAGATCTAAGAACTGCATTATTTGCATTTTGTGTAGATATTTGCAGCTGTAGGTTATTTCCAAGTACCAGTCCTTAAACAGGAGTGCAAGTTGAATGTTTACCTAACATTTAATTGACTTTAAAATTAATTATTGGGCAGATACATAGATCTTCCCAATTCATCAAATCAGATCATTCTAGATCAAATGAACTACAAATAAAACTATAGCTATTTTCTGAGCAGCTGGCTCTTCCCCACAAAGAACATACCAACTTCAGATCACATACACTGCATACTTTAAACAGTATCCAGTTACTTGCCTTTGGAAGTTTAATAGGTGGCTCTTTGGATTCCTCCTCTTCATCACTGTCTGAATCCCCACTCTGTACACTGTTCTTTGAAGCCAAAGATACAGACGCTTCCTTTTTTTGCCACTCCAACACACAATGGCGGACATTGCAGTAAACATTAAAAGCTGAAGGATTGCTATGTAATCTGATATCTGGTATCGTTATTGTACTCTCTAGGTTTTCAGTCTGAAAAACAAGATTAGTTTTAAGTTTATTAGAAGTTTCAAGCTTTGCTAAATACAAGTAATCTCAACAGTCCCAATAATTTTGGCCAACCAAATGATTCTCAAACTGGAGACTGAACTTTCCTGTTGAAGTACCATTTATATTTCAGGCAGGGAAGAAAGGAAGAAGAGGAAGAAATTTCAGTATATTCCATGAGGCTTTAGTCTCTACCTCTCATGATTTGATGAGGACACTGGGATGGAAAATTAAAGCAGTTCAGGCTACAGAATGGTCCAAACCTGTGCCACAACCAAAAGACTAGCAGAATTCAGGATTTGCCTTCTTAACACCGGTCCGTTTGGATTTTTTAAATTATTATTATTATTGAATTTTAAAACGCATCATTTGTTATTCTAGTTGTTAACTTTAATCTATTGGTAAATAATAAAAATTTAAGCTGCTTGCTAAATGTATATTAGCAATTAAAAATACCATTAGTTGTTTTGCCATTAAAAGTAAACAGATGGCAAGTTCAGAAACTCCCAACATAGGATGCTGTGGATAATAATCTTGTATAACTAGAAAAGAAATCAAAATCTACTGGACAAACTACTAAAGACAAATAATAATTTAAAAAAAAAAAAAAATCTATCAAGGCCTGTGAAGTAAGAGGACACCATCTTGTTTTCAGAAGTCCTAAGCCACAAAGTAAGAGTTGGGAAAATGTTCTGAGAAACTATCACTATCCAAGCCGTTACCCTACTGCTCCACCCTTTCTTTGGTATCTACTACTGGTATATTACTGTCAGCAGCTGCAGAGACACAGAAAAGCCTTCATGAGGCTGTTATTAGTCTTGGAAAAATATGAAGAAAAAACATTTTTTTAAAAACATCTTTTAAATTCTGCCCCATACTCTCCCTTTCTGCAAAAGTAAGATGGGACAGGAATAATGACAGACTTAAACAACCAAAACCCCACAAACACAACAAAAAATAATCCCCAGGCAGGGTTCTAATTTCTCTTCAGTGGTGTACTACCAAAAGCTAAGCTGGTTTGAGCACAGGCTATGAAAAACGTGACTTCAGGCATGTGGGAGGAAGCAATTCCCTATAATATCTCAATGTAGACAGAGGGCACAGAGACTAAGTAAGGAGGGAAGGAAAGCCTAGGTTAAGAGTGAAGGACAGATTTGCTTGAATGTGGAGGGCAAAATTTGGAGGACGATCAGGCTAGACTAAGTCAAGGTCATGACTAACTACACAAGGTTATTTTGGTTTATTTGTCGTATTCTTGAGCAGGGGTGGTGAGGGTGGAAGCTTTTTGTCTTTTTCTTTCTTCTAATTTAAGGGGGATAGATATTATGAATGACCACACTCATTTGGCAGGAGAGTACACTGGTAGTTTGGAACAGATCAGAGTGGAAATCCTCATACATTTGTGAGAGCAGTGATGGGAAGAAGGACCTTAAACTAGCAGAGAAAAGGGGAAATATTTGAGAACCAGTGAACTGGATAAGGTTTTAATGGGGTGATTTATTTTTCTACAATATGGTAGCCACAACTTTTTACATCAAAACACAGTAATGGTTCACAACACATCTTTAACTGCACTTACCTTTTAATTATTACCAGAAATAACACATGCTTCTAAATTAGACCATTTAACACCACGTTACAAAACTTAACAGAAAATTCAAAATAACCTCAAAATATCTCACAGTTTATATATTTTCTTTTACTTTTTACTATCGTTCTAATTATTTTATTTTTTACTATTATTCTAACTGTATTGGTACATATTTGCATATGCTTCCTTTCCATTATTACTACAAAATTATTGCAAGTTAAAACATTAAGAAGCAATGGTTTACTCTGTAGCCTGTTTTATCCACCACAGTCAGTATGTTAATTTTTCTTCCCCATGTCACTGTTAGCAGTAAGCACAAAAATATGAAGTTAATGGAAAAGAAAAAGCTGGAAGAAGTTCCTTACATACTGAAAGTTTAGGTGGTGTGTGTCGTGTTCCCCCCCTCCCCCCTTTTTTTTTTAAGCACAACAGAATTAGGGATTCCGCCACTAGGGATTGAAAGACATCGTAAGTTTAGCCCTTACTCAACATGAATGTCTTCAAAATAATAAAGCTGCTGTTAAAAACCCACAATATTAATCAGTGCATGAACTCAAGATAAAATCTGTTATCCCGCTATCAAACTCCATCAACATATATTTGGACTGGTACCAATGATAATGAGCTACTACATATTTTAAAATCTATTTGTCACCAGAAAACTAAACGGTTATAACATATGACTCTTCTGTATGTCAAATATCCATACACACACCCCCAAGAGTTTTTGCAGCTGCTGCTAAGGCAAACACATAATATCAGCTTTCATCTGAACTGCAGAAGTTACAAACTTTTTTTTTTAATAGTTTACTATGCATTTCCTAGTCTACTGATAGTTACAGGATGAGACAAAAATCTGGACCCTCTGAAATATCTCTATCTTAAATTCACTTATCTAATTAGTATCATGTATTGTAATTGTAACTTCTGTGAGCAGTTTCCATTCCAGTTCTTTCCTGTCAGAAGTTCAGCTTAGTCTTTTTTCCAGAACAGCCCAAATTTTGTAGCTCACACAGCCTCTTTTGAAATAGGCTGGCCAAACTGTTTAACAGCACAGGTAATTTTAGACATTACAGTGCTAGATAAAATATCAATGTATGCTTTCTTGCCTATTAATAATAAACTGACTAGTTTTCAGAAATAAACTCCTTCCTTATTCTCAACATAACTATTAAAAAGTCCTTACCTAATGCTTTAGCTTTTAAGCAGTAAGCACTTTAACCATTCTTTGTTTAGCATTTCACTCTTCTATAACAGTGCACAAACTGTCGCGATAGACAATAATCTCCTACCCAGACAGTACAGCACAACATTCTCCAGAAAACCCTGCTCTGAACAATGTAGCACCAGAATATACAACTCAGAACCAGAGTTTAATTCCTAACTGTGAATGTTAACCCACTGTTTACATTTCTTAGTTCAAACCTCCACTTTCCCTTCACAATACCTTATTTCTAAGAATTGTAAATTCTTTGAAACTAGAAGTATCTTTTACCCCATTCTGTTATACACCTGACAAATGTAGTAGCAATCCTAACAATGTCCCATAAGAATAATTTTGAAATTCACTACCTGGTTTTGTCAGTTTAAAAATACTGGCTTTATGACTGTACTAAATAAAGCCCTTTTGAACAGTAAGTTGTTGGGTTGTAAGAACAGGTTAAATTCAAGGATAATTATGATTTTCACCGTTTACTGGCTTTCATTTGAGGGGAAAAACCCCTCAATTGAATTAATGTTAAATGTAAGTATTCAAATGCTTAGCATGACTGAGGGCAAAAGAAAGGTGTTGAATGACAAGACACATTGTTTCTGGTTGGAGGTTAGGAAGGGAACTTCCAATTGTCAAACAGGAAAACTTTCTGCTCCTCTAATGCAAATGCTCATTCAGTAAGTAGCTTTTTTTTTTTTTTTTTTTAATTTCCTTTTCTTCAATGTTTTTTCCTTTCCAGATTGCAGGATTCCTAACTTCATTGAGGTCAGATGCACTGCTCAAGTTAGGAAACTGGGACTTAAGTTCATCTCGTCATCAACTTGAATTTTCCTTTTCTGCAACTGATGAGAGCCATGGCATTGGATTGCTCTTCGGCAAAGCCATACAAACTTCCCTGATAGTATGAGATTCATGCTGCCACCTGTACAATCTGGCTACTGGCTCATAGATTTCGAGGTAGAACAGATCACGATGACAATCTAACCACTAACTATGCCTAGAGAACCCCACTTGGTAATTCTTATACCAAACTAATACAATCTATTTTAAGTTACTACATTTCATGTTGACACAAAATACTTCAATATTGCTAAGGAAAACAGTGGAACATTAAACCAAAATGTTAATCAACTTCTAAGAATACAGAGAAGAAACTTACTAATTTTGCACAGATCTAGGATTATTGATAATCCAGTCAGACTGCTCTTGAGCTATGGGATACATTATTTCAAGAAAAAACATCACCCTAATAGCTTGTTTTCTTGGTGTTAAGTGTATTGAGATGCACAAATGTATGATACATCTTTTCATGACACTGTGAATAAGGTGAAAAGCAACAGTCACTTTTTCTACACCTCTAAATGTTCTTTTCTTAATGGCTACTGGAATATTGCAATCCAAAGCACTCACTAAGTATAAGAACGATGAGAAGCCCAGCTTCTAGGATGTCTGAGTAGAAGACGAGATGATAGGCTCCATATTTTTTTTTTTCTCCCAAAGCATTTGGTTTCTTGGAATATGAAATTGCTACCACTTTCAAAAAGAATGGAGCTTCAAGGCTGGAAAGCAGAATTATGCTTTTTGATTTAGAGGGTTTTGTATGAGCTGTATGAAAGTGGGACATTCTGAAAATTTTATCTTTGTTGTTTCAGTTGGTACCATCATAAATTGAAAATTCACCTTCTTAAATCAAGATACATGATTAAACATACATCATAAAACTTAACAGATACCCAGTATTCATCACATATTCTGTCTTGAGTAATGGAAAAGTTTCTTTGTGCTAGACAGAATATCTAAAATTAAACTTTGGTGGAAAGGAAGCAAAATTTTTAAACATGATATCATTCTTACAAAATGTGAGATATTAAACTTCAAAAAGTAAATTCTCAACTGAAACCATACAAAGTGAGGTAACAGTGATGGAAGGTCATTTCAGTGATCAGAAGAACTAAGGCATCTTTTGGGAACAATTACAGAATCTGTAAAGGCAATAAGCGTAATTAAATTACTCACAAAATTTTTCTGTATTTTGGGTAGACAAAACAGGAGCAGATAATGTTCTCCAAAACATTTAAGAAAACATTAGAAAAGCCTTTCTCTTCAAGTTTAAAAGATACCGAAGAAAGAACAATTCAATTCTGAACTACCGAATAATGAACTCTAAATGCAAGTTTGAGAGATTGCAATGCCAGTGTAAGTAAAGAATCATGAACATTGTTTCAATACATGAAGGTAAAATTTTATTTCTTGTGTGTTACTTTTTTTCTAAAAGGTAAGAAGCTATCTTATGAGACAGAGAATGAAGCACAGGCGTCCATACCTTGATGTGTGACTTGTCCCTGTAAACATATAGTCTCTACTAAATGGAAGGATGCATTCATCAAATAGAGCCACCAGATTCACAGGTGCCCTTCTCAGTTAGCCTTTTGCAATGTTCCAGTACACTCAAGGAAAGAAGTGGGAAAAAAAAACCAAAACACTCTGGTCTCCTTTACACTGGTTTCACACCTGAAACAAACTGTTTTCCCAAAAGACGAAATCCATACATAGCTTATTTGCTGACCAATTTATTTCCTTCCTCTTGAACCAGACGACTGCAGTAGTGGTTTATTCTCAGATGCAATGGAAATAGACTATAATCTAGGAGGTGAAAAAGTTAATCTGTTGTTAAAAATAGGTAAGACTATAATAACCATCTGATCTAACCTGTGCATAACACAGAGCATAGAACCTCACCAAATTCTTCTTTGAACAGTTGAAACATCTCTTAGAAAGGGATGCCCTCTTCAGGTTGAAACACCAAATAATATAAAAGCCATTGAAAACAACTGCCAAATTATTTGAGAAGCTCTCTGTGGTTTTTATTAGACAAATATTTATCCCAGTTGATCCACCTTATACATCTAATCATTAGCTTACAATAAATTTGCCTACTACGTGAACCACACTTTCCCAAGGTTTTATTCCTTCTGTTTGTATAAAGCTAAACAAGTCACAGTTTAAAACACAATTTTAAACTAAACAGGTGGGTGTCAATCATTGGAAGTATTCTCCCTCTCTGGAGGACTCCAGTTTTTCAGTATTCTTCAAATAACGTTATATGAACAGAAGATGGCGAACCCTGGCTTTTCATCCAGTCTCTCAGCTAAGTGTCCTAAGCAGCGGTTTTAAGAGTTAACAGGAAAGTGGGACAACTCCAGGTGGTGAACAGAGGGGAAGAAGGGGAAGCAGCAATATTCATAGAGTTGAGCTAAATTACACAGCCTACAATTCTAGTGATAACTGTTGACAAAAAAAAAAAAGGGGGGGGGAGGCAGGCAAGAATCCAGGAACCCAAGGTGCTACACCCACATCTAGCAATCACATATTTGTTTTCTGTGTAAAAGTCATTTTATTCATCACTGAATTTCTAAAGCCAAAGCACACTGGAAAACTTTTATACCTCTGTTTAAAAAAAAGACACTAAACCACAAAACCAAAAGTTAACAGTAGTTCAAATACAATAGATCATAACATGACCCCAGCTTAGGAACAGAATAAGGCTTAAATTACTGGACTGCGTTAAACACCAATTAATGTTTTATACTTAAAATGTTCTAACATTTAATGCTTAAATGGTGGAAATAATTTTTATTCCAGTTGCTCAACAATTACTTTTTTTTTATGTTCTCTTCAATTACTCAGTTATCATTTTTACTAAGTGCAGGTTATAAACAACAAATTTTGGGGTTCCTTTAGTTTATTCTTAATTTCAGACCCTCCCTGCCTCTACCAAGCATATTAAGAGAAAGTTCCCATCTCTGTTCAGACTAAAAGACCTTGGTTCTTAAAAAATAAACTGATATACACAAGCTCTTCCTGCTCAGAATGACCAGTAGCGACAGGCTTTTCAATCCACCCTATTATAAGGCTTCAAATGGAAATTCCCATTTTCCTGATAATACACACATCTGTTTTCAGACATTCCAGCACAAAAATGATCACTGTTAAGCATAGGGATGTGCTGAAAAGCACGTAGGGGAAAAAAAACCAAACCAACAACAAAAGAAACAAGGAAAAAAACAAAAACAAATCAAAAAACCAAACAGAACCACCCTACTTTGTCAGTAAACGAAGTTTGATAACCTAAGGATATGAAGCTGATTTTTTCTTTCCCTTTTCAGTTACATCTTTCAGGAAATACACAATTTCCTGCTATCACGCAGAAATAAGCCGGAGTGCCTTTCTGTACCTCAGTGACTCAGAATGAACACCAATGCTCTGCTGGTCAGCCCTGGCCTGCCTGAAAGACTGTCCAGAATAGAGGCATCAGTAAAAGACATGAAAAAAAAAAAACCATTAAGCCTTTCAAAGGCAAATAAATCCCACTTAATGCTTCAAGCAGAAGTTGTTTCATATCCAAGAAAAATCTTGAAAACAACCCTCCATAGGCATGAGATGCAGAGATGTCAGTGACAAATCTGTAACTACTGACAAGCACCAGCCTTTAATACGTTCATGTCACCTTTGGCCATTCAGAAGGGATCCTGCCAATCCATTTATCCAATGAAATTAAATCCAAGAAGCACATTTGACTGTCAAAGCTTGTGAAGAACAGCAGTTCTGGATTTAGATTCCTATTTGGCAGTTCAACTAGGGCACTACTATTCAGAAAGACAAGGTTCCCCTTATATAGAGTAACAATGATCAAAGCTGAAGAGTTATCTTATTTTGAAAGCACAAGTTTCTGGTACCATACAGACACACAAAGACTAACTACATTCTGCAAGATTTCTTCAACTTAGTTTTCTGTGTTGACAGTGGGTCTGATAAAATCATGAAGGGAACAGGGCTAAAACTTCTAATATCATAGCAACTGAAGAAAGGGCTGAAAAATTCCGTTTCGACCAGAAATATTTCACTGTACAGTGCTGAGAACAGAAGTGAAGATAAGCCTCTTCTATACTATAGTCTAGAGCTGCACTACTTGAGATAAGCAGAACAATCTGGTAAGTATCCAAAAAGGCAATACCAAATGAAGAGATACAGGGCTTGCTTCACCCTCCCAAAGTCATCTGTCTTGAGATAGAGTAACTACATACAGTTTGGCAAATAGGGATAAGATGGCCAATTTGATCTTCAGTGTATTTATATTACAAGAGCATTCAACTGACTAGAAGATGTTTTCACTGTATATTTCAGTGGTTCTGTATTTCAGAACCATTCCAGAAATGAGCTACTTTCTCTTTACTGACTACAATGGGAACCTAGGAAGAAGTCTCCATGTCTGCAGTGAGACTTCATGAAAATCCATCCAAGACTGTAGCTTAAACAGAGGCATAACAACTATCTAAAAGAGGAAGAATGCAGCAGAGCAGTATTTTAAAATAGTGTTGTTTCTGCCTAGATTTCTTCCCTGCAACATGTGAACATGTAAAAAAATTTTATGAAGTTCCATTTAAAGTGATGGGTGCAGGAGTTACAAGAGAACTTGTAACTTGGGGAGAAAATATTAATAGAAACAGATAAGTATAATTTATTCCATTTTGGAGGAATTTTCAGAGGTAACTTTGGATTCCTTAGACATTGAATATTCCCCTTCTCCTTTAGCCAATATGGACAGAATTCTTTGCAACAGTAGTCTCTAACTGTTGGCTAGACATGCACCTCTTAAAATTTAACTATAAGACCAACATGTTTAGCTATGTTTACAGTTTAGGAACTCAAGAACCTGGAGAACCAAAAATGCTGTTCATATTATTTCATGCTGAACATTAGTAGCAAACACAGTTGAATAAGGTTAACATTGGTTTCATAGTCATGTAGAATACAGTAAACAGACAAACAATACTGGCCTATTATTATCTTTTCTAAAACAAATAAATTGCTAGTTACACTTAATTTTCCTGTATTGCTCTCAATTGAAATTACGTTCATTTTTGAGTCAGAACTTTGTCAAGTTACTTACAGACTTACCTTGTTGCGTGTTTTAACTTTCAATTTAGTCTTCTGCTTCCTTTTCAATTTTTTCTTGCTAAAAAGTTTCTTACTTCTGAAAAAGAGAAGAAAAGCCATGAGAACAAAAGAATTAAACTCCCTTCCATGCTATTACTCCATGATAAACACCAGCACCAGCAGAGGAAAAATAGTCAGACAACCTCTAAAATGTTTTCTCCTAAGCAAAAGGAACCAACCTTTTGGTAGAAAGGCAGAATGTCAAACTATAAATCAGAATATAAAGCACTTAAAATTATGCTTTCCTAATGCTCCACTGAATTAAGGGTCCTTACTCTCATCAATTTAAGCAGAATATATACTAGGGCAGACAAAAAATACCTACATTTTATACTGGTTTATCCTACTGTTTCTATTGCAAGTCCATTAGTGCTAGAAGCAATGAATTACTGACAATTCTCATCAATATAACCTGTTAGGACAGAACACATATGTTTTGTGAAGTCTTTAACAGATAAAGATTTCAGCCTTCCAAGATGAAAAGGAAGCTTTAAAAAACGTTTACTTCGCAGAAAATTCAGTTGGTGGAAGAAACTGCAACTTCTGAACACAGCTTTTTTAATTCGGTCTACTTTTCCCACCTCAGTTTACACACTTTTCATTTCCATCCCTTTACGTTACAGCTCTAGGTAACACATGCTCCTCTAATCCTCTTCTGCCCACATCTCATTCCTATCACATTCTTTTTCTCCTCCATTTTACTACCCAGTTAAAAAAAAAATCACAGAAAAAGACACCATAGGAAAAAAGACACCATACACACATAGAATTGTTTCACCACCATCACTGAAATTACGCTAATACACATGCTTTTTAACCTACTTTACATTTCTCTGGTCTGTTCAGATTGCAAGCCCTCTGCAAAAAAGGGCAGATGTTATCTGTGCAGCATAGAACTCATCCTATACAGGACTTTAAGCAACAGCTACTAACATTCCTCTGTGCCACTTAAACATTACTGAAATAGTTTACAGTTCCGATTAGTTGGAAAAATAAAACTATGGAATCTGAAAGTCACAGGCCGTAAGAAGTTGCACTTTCAGGTAACAAATTGGAAAGAGATTGAGAATCAGGAGGATCATAGTATTTTATTCAAACAACTCTGTTCTAAATAAAAATTTTGAGGGACCAAAAACATACTGTATTCAGACTGCAAGAGTATAGAAGTCTCACGGTCTAGCAGTCAAAAGCTGGAAACTGAGGTTTGACCAACAGCCACCAGTCAGAAAACAAGCTCAAACAAAGAACCCCTGCAGAATATCCCAAGAAAGCTGCCTGCTAGAAACAACACCACCTTTCCCATCTTCACCCATTAACAATGAGGGAGGAACATTCCTCATCAAGACACTTCCTACAGAAACAAGTCAGCTCACCAGTTTTCTTATAAGGAACCATCACCATTATCCTGAAGTTAAGAGAAGTGATTCAGTGAAGGGGAACCCCCACCCTCCCCAGTAAGTTAAAGCTTATAAAGCGAACCTAGATGACCTCCTAAGGTTCCTTCAACAGTAAAGTTTCAACATAACAGTATACAACCTATTTAAGAAGTGGGGGAAGGAAACTCATACAGCCTTAATGTCCAAATTTCTATAATCAAACCCCATAGTCTGTTTCACTATTTAGTTATTCTTACATTGGACAAGTTTTTCTTCCTTATTAGAGTTTAACGCAGTTAATTCTTGCTCTGCTGTCAAACATGAAGAACAGTGCAGTCCCTTTCTGTAGCCATTCAATCTTCTTCTCTGCACCAAAAAACCTTTTATGAAACTTTCACCCTAACTTTAAGTGTAAAAGTCCTGATTTACTTTGGACTACTACTGGACTCTTTCAGTCCATACCGCAGGTAAGCCACATTGACCAAAACTGAAAACAGTACTTATTATTTGCTGTTGAGAAGAGGAAGAAGAATTGCCTTGCATGTCTCCGAGGTCATACTTTTAACCATATTCCAGATATTATTTGGCAGCTTCACAGCAATATGGCATGGCAGACCTATGTAATCCAGAGTAACTTGAAAACATTTTCCTGCAAACCTCCGAAATGAGCTTCGAATACTCTTTACCTAGTTGTGCTGTTAATTATGCCTTTTATACACAGTACAATTTGCACTTACCAGAGACAACTTGATAAGCATTGCTCTTTCCTTTTTTTTTTTTTTAAAGGACACTAACTCAAGTCACCAAGACATTTCAAATTTAATCCTCCCTGCCAAAATCCTTGCAAACTCTCCAAATTTGTTATAGTCTGCAAACATTATAAGCACTGTTTCATCTTGTAAATATCTCACAGTACCACTCCCCATATTTTTGTATGTATTTCCCTGTGTGTATGTATACATCTAGAAACCCTCAAAATTAAGCCTTCCCCCTGCCCCACTAAGATCAGGCTCATTTCCAAAGTGAGAAAAACACCATCATTTTGCAGACTAACTTAATTTCTCAATGATACCTAGCCAATGTTTTCTCCTATTAGCAAGCAGAAAAGATCAGCAATAGGCTTATTTCCTCTTTCAGATTCCAAGCGGTGGTGCTATGATCTCCCTCATCCATACATCAACCATTAAAGATGCTGCAAGTATAAGCTTTTCCTAGTCAGTCCACTGTAGAAGCCATCATCAAGTTTTAGGCTTGAACAATTTTTTACATGGAAACAACTTGGGTATAGAAATGCCATGTTGAGAATCAAGATTTATCTCCCTATCTTTTCTTACGACAAAACCTCAAAAATACTGAAATCCCAGTATTTTTATTGGGAAGTATACCTTCCCCATGTATCCAAACAAAACTTCAGAACTAGTAAGTGATTAATTAAAAAAATAAAAAAGCCCTCATCAATACTAATTTTATAAACAGTTCTGAGCAACCTATCATTACTATGCATAATTCTAAGATGTTTATAATGTATCTGCATATAACATGTAAAGATATATATGATTATCCACAGTCCTATTGTTATATACACCGTTATGCCAGGAGGTTTTAATATTCAGATAGAAAGAATAAAATATGGGCACACATATTCATGAAAAACAACGTTAAGTAGATTATGAGTAATTTCCTGTTCGAAACCACATGTGTTAATTATAAGCCTGACTCTTCTACTGCCTGAAGATTAACAACACCTGATATGGCCTGGTTTGATTTTTTAGCTAAATTATTAATTAAGGTTTTGCTTAAGAATTATACATTGCTGGAAACTGTCATTTGTAAAGGTCCTGAAACTCTCTGCTGACAATCTGCTTCCAGTGGCAAATGGCCTTTAGCCTTTAAGTTTTAACTCAGCTGTTGATACCATTTAGTTCACACAAGCCAAACAACCATTATCAGCAAATCTTAGGCAGGTTTTCTGCAAACTGCTTCAATCCACTGTAACATTTGAGACCGTTAGCCGTTTTGCATTGGACCACAAAGGAAGTGCAAGTCAAATGAGTGCAGAACATGGAGATACCTTGTCAAGAAAATATTGCAGAAAAATCTGTTGAGAATAAAAGTAAATACCTAAAATGTTCAACCATGAATACAGAACAATAGTCTCAAACCAAAGCGGTGAAAAAAACAGGAGACGTGGGGCAACAACTGATTGCTGGAAAACTTAAAATAGGTAAAACAGACATTAAATAACATGATTGCAGCTTCTATTGAACTTTGTGACACCTGTTGTAGAAGGAAATAAAATCATGCTTTGTTCATTTGTTTTCAAACCAGAAGCAGCATTAGCTAGCACTTGCAATATTTGCTGCACTACTAGGGGGATCCTCCTCAGTTGTCTCAACACCATTGCTCTTACACTGTTCAAGAGCTGAGGAAATGCTAACTGAGTGATCTTCCCTCAAAGCCACAACAGTCCTGAATTGCAATTCATAACCTTAAACTTGAGAAAGAGGCTTTATCGTAGAATAGTTTGGGTGGGACCTTTAAAGGTCATCTAGTCCAACCTCCCCTACAATAAGGAAGGACATCTTCAGCTAGATCAGGTTGCTCAGAGCTCCATCCACCTCACCTTGAATGTTTCCAGGCATGGAACATCTACCACCTCTCTTGGCAACCTGTGCCAGGGTTTCACCACCCTCATTGCAAAAAATTTCTTCCTTATATCTAGTCTCAATTTGCCCTCTTTTAGTTTAAAACCATTACCCCTTGTCCTATTGCAACAGGCCCTGCTAAAAAATCTGTCCCCGTCTTTCTTACAAGCCCCCTTGAAGTACTAGAAGGCTGCAATAAGGCCTCCCCAGAGCCTTCTCTTCTCCAGGCTGAACAACCCCAACTCTCTCAGCCTATCCTCATAGTGTTCCATCACTCAGATCACTTTTGTGACCTCCTCTGGACCCTCTCCAACAGGTCCATGTCTTTCCTGTGCTGCGGGCTCCAGAGCTGGATGCAGTACTCCAGCTGGGGTCTCACCAGAGCAGAGAAGAGGGGCAGAATCAGCTTTACGTGTTGAGTGTCGCCCCTACTCGACGTTGTTACTGAATTACTCAATATGGGTTAACATTATGTTAACCTTGTGTTAATAGTGTCACACCTGCATAATCTCTTCTAGGCTGTATGTTAAAAGTGCCACTGACAAGTGGAAAAAATTACTGTTCTGCCTCCACTGCTGAGTCAGAATAGGAGCAAAAAAGGTGTTATTCACCTGCTGTCTGACCTAAAACCTTTGCTTCTACCTGAAATGTGTTACCAAAGGTCATAGTAGCTAGTACAGCATGAGACCCAGTCATTCTACTGTTAATTAAATCTTTGAAAATTTTTGAAAAATTAACTAATTTAATAAGCCACATGCTGGCACATGCTAAAATTTTTAACTCTTCCAACTGACTTTGTCTCAGTGTGTTTGCCTAAGCTTGCTTGCTCTGGTTCGATGGCTAAGTAAGGTATGCCTTTGGGAAGAAGTATACTGTTGACAGAAGTCATGCGGTGTCCAGACAAATGACAAATACACTGCATTATTTTGTTTCCATACGTGCTTAGTCTGCACAGTTAGCTTAAGCATTCAAGGGCTAGTGGAAATGCTCTTAAGAAGCAGCAACCACGCAGTGGC